CGTAAAAGATGGTATGAAAACAACAAGGAACGGATCGTCAGAAGACAGAGAGCCTATGTTCAAGAGAACAATGAACACGTCAACAATTACCAAAGACAATACTGTAAAAACAACAGGGAACGGTTAAACGGTTATTGGAGAGGTTATTATGCCACGAATAAGGAAGGGATCACGCAAAGACTTCGTGAGCAAAGACAAAGAAAAATAGGTCAGAATATCGTGCGTTTTGGGGCCTGGGACCAAGGGTCTGAGAAACTGGAAACGAGTCTAGTTCCCAGCGAACATGCGGTTACACTTTGTGGAATACCGAAGGCTAAGGCATAAAGAGTTAAATTTGTAATCAATTCTCCGTCAGAGTTCTTGTTATTATTATTCAATAAACATTATAAAGTAAGCATCACGACTCTTTTTTCATTTTTAAACAATTTAAGGACATTACATGTACTGTGGGGTAAACCCCCATATCCCCCGTCTTCTCATTGGTTGTTAGCCACGTGATATCGCATACCCCCTATCCCCTGTCTTCTCATTGGATACACGTTTCGACAAGCGAGTGGTCGATCCCGAGTCATTCAAGTCCTACCCCTACGGGTACGCTGGACTAGACAATACAGACATGAAGAACATAGACAATTTAATTGCCTTGTAAATCAAGTTTATTCAGGGTACCCCTCCCAATGAGAGGCGTTTTTTAAGTCCAGCCACGCCCCTGGCAATCTTGTTGTTAGTTTTTTGCTGATATTGTAAACACTTTTTACAAGATGATTATAAAACATTTTCATGACATATCTCTCTTGTGCTCTCTCTCTCGAGGTTATTCCCCCCAGGTCAGGTCCCCCTCATGAAAAGGGGGATATCGCGGAAGAACTTTTTTTTGTTGAGAACAGTTCCGTGACATACGATGTTGACAGTCTCGTTATTTCACAAGTGGAACAAACATCAACGGCATCATCAACCAAATCAACATTGTTAAATAATAACTTTTATAGTGCGACTACTCAACCAGAGACCGTTTTTGCAAACTCCGCTGTGCAAACAGATTCCATTTGAAACGCCCTAAACAAGCCGCATGAAACCGATAGGCAGAACATGGAATTGAGTATACTACGGTTTTAACCTTCAAACGCCTTTGGACAGTTTGCAGTAAAAGTTCTGGGGGGCCTTGGTTACAATCACACTGCAAAAAGCACAATTACGTTTTCTTTTACACGGTTTGTTTTCAATGTAGGAAACGACAACAAATGTAAGTATTTCAAAATCTATCTTATATACTTCTTATTTAGAGTTACAGTTATAATGCATGACAAGAAAGACCTCTTTCTGTATTGTAATGTGACACAACATAAATGATATAAGAATATAACATTAAGTCTAAATCGAAAGCTCATGAACTCCTATTCCACCTTCAGAAATTCCAACTTTATAACAATTTCTACAATCAAATGTCACAAAGTTTTTCATTACAGTATCAGTTGTGACCCTCTTACAAGAAAGAGCTCTTTCTAGTATCTGATATCTAGGTAAACAGACATCACCAGAGTATGGCAACATAACTTATTTTAAAATTATTAATGGATAATGTTGCTGCTGATGAGATTCCATTTGTTAAAAACGTATTCATCGTCTTAGCGTTAACAGCTGTTACATTTACAATTGACATTACAGTGTCTGTTGACTTCTTTCTGATATTAGATGATAAATTACGTGTGAAAGTCACTAGCCATCAGGTTGAGGTGTAACTTCAAATTAGTTCCTTTAGGTTTAAGAAGTAAAAAGTGGAGTCTTAGAATTCTTTGTATGCCAACTTTAATTACCATCAGTTTCAGTTGTAACTTCACAAAAAGTAGGAACTCTTAATAATTTCAAAGAAAACATCAAAATATTGGGATATCACTTTTTATCATATACTTTGAAAACAATTATTTTTTGACATTCACAAAGAAAAAGAAGGCCACTCTTCAATTTAACATGGATCAGAATGTATCAGTAATTATTTATTAAATAAACATTGTTCTTCATTCAAAAACCTGACAAAAACAAATTCCTACGAAACACCAATTTCATTCAGAATTCCTCTTTTCAAAAAACAAAACCCTTTGCAAGGGGGGATGAAGCCAACACAAGATAGCCCTACCCACTTTGCTATCCAGTTGGCCAGATAGATGGACACGAATGCAATCAAATAGATTGAAAATTAGGATTTTAATGTCAGAACCTTTATTATTTCGTAAAATTTATTACTTAATTGGTCAGTGTAAAGCACAGACTACAGACGGGGTGTAAACAAAGGACAGAGGGTAAAATTTAGACCAGGAATATACAATGCTTACTTGCTTGTACTATGCTAGAGCTGTAAATAATCGACAAAATCGACAACTGCGATTTCATCATGTCAAAATTCTGGCTTCACAGCTGGATATGCCAGGAAAGAAGCCCAAGTTCACGTAGACATGCGTCTTGTTTTATATAGTTTTCATTTCTATGTTCGTTCAACACAGGCCATGTCCACACTACGCCGGAGGAATTTAATATACAGATTTAGCCAGGCCTAAAAGCGGAACTCCTAGGCCGGGTTGTTCAAAGGCCGATTAACCTAACCCAAGAGATGCGAGAATTTTGATTTGAGCTTTGTAACTTTACAGTGAGGTTTTCTGTATATTGTTTGGCCTTCTGTTTTCAGTTTGACTAATCTCAAAATACACAAAACAAAGGCAGTGAAAAACATTTGTATACAAACACGTGACCTCGATATCCTCTAAACTTCAGCCCACATGGTCACGTGATACTGGTCAGCGGATACCTTGTTTTGACAGGTGTCAATTGACTATAGCGTGGATGTCCAATATCAAAGAAAGAGAAGGCTGCATGGTATGGCCGCCTTCTTGCGCGACTCCATCGTCGTCTTCGTACGCGCCCACGAGCAATACCACTAGCCACGATAACCATGAGAAAATCAAATCATGGGTTTCCTTTTTTCCTATATGGGTAGAGCTCAGCTAAAGATGCAACAATAACCGGTCACTTTGGATTTGTGTTTGAGGAAAACTCGGTCAGGGAAATCACGTGATTATCGCGACGCCATCCTTTTCGAAAAGCTCCGTTTTCAAAACGTTTTCCGTCCACACGAAAACGAAAAGCCGGAGTTTTCAGATTCCTGCAGTTTGAAGAGCGTTTTTGAAAAGCTCCGTTTTCGTGACAGATTAGTGTGGACTAGATTAATTATTGACTGTGAT